GACCTAAACAGCTATGCCACGTGACAGTCACATCCCATGGGAAGTCCCTTGCAGATTGTCTTGATGCCCAAGAGAACTCTCACACTCAGGGAAAATAGAATGGTCAGTTCTCCCTTCTCAGGCTCCAAATAAAACAACCAGTGAGCTAAAAGCAGGAGCTAGCAATTAAGGAGGACACATAGGATTTGGTTTCTTCTATCAGTTGACGTAAGGCAGGTCCCAGGGGGAGATCTTGGATCTTGGAGCCAAGATCTGTTGTTTGTGGTGTCCAATCTTAGCTCATGCTGAAACCAGGCAAGAGTGAGGTGTGCCCAAGGCAACACAAATGACAGGTAAAGAGATGCTGTTTTCTCCTTTTCAAGGGGCGATTTGGTATAGGAGACAATTTGAGCCCTGAATAAGGCGCTTAGTTATTATGGGTTGGATCTCCCTCCTCCTCTCTCCTCTAACCATTCTTTTTAATTACAGAAGATAATAACAGCCTTGGCGAGCTATTGTGAGGTTTAAGGAGCAGGCAGGCAGGCACCTAGCACAAAGCCTGTACCAGTGCTTAGGGAATAGTAAATGTTATCTGAAACAGCATCTGAAATACCACATGTTGAATGGTGAGTAGTAAACATCATATGTGAACAGCGAATAAATAATGGTGAATGTTCCTGTGGACCTCTGTTGGAAGCTGTTGCCTTTACAGTACTAACCCGGAGAGGATTGAGAAAGAGTAAGTTTGATGGAGACTCCCTGCCTTCACTGGGGAAGCAAAGCAAGATCTCCAGCGAGGGGCCGCACTGGCTATCCTCTGTCTTCACACCATTTCGTCCCCAGGAGGCTACCCTTATGGGCTTTCTCACTGAAGCTCCCTGGCTGGCTGGCTCCCAGTTGAATCGGCCAGCATGGGCTCTGACAGTTTCTCACTGAGCGAGAGGAAGGAGTTGGGCATTTCTTCCCTGTCGCCTCTCTGTCTTTGGCAGTGCCAGCCTCCTTCTGGAATTATACGTCTAGGCTGCTCCGTGATAATCTTTATTACTTTATTATAGACACCAGGGCTGTGCTCTTTAATATAACGCTCACAGTTTCAGTGGTGTGAAAACTCTTGGCTGTCACTTGTGTTACTATTTCCTTCCTTTACTCTTTCATGCTTGGAGTGGTAATTTTTGTTTGTTTGTTTTTTTGTTACAGATCTGCAGACTACATTGTCCTTTCTGTGTCCCATTAAAGCCCATTTCTGTAATCTGTGAGGTGGGCCCTTCCTTAGAGTCTACGATGGGACCATCCAAGGCACACACTATTCTCTGTCAAGGCCCTGACTCCGGAGGTCTCCAAAGAGGTCACAAATGTATGCATTAGTGAATGACAGTTGTTCTTACATGCACCATCCCTGAGTAACAAGGCTTTAAAAAGGTGTTAAAATCCCTCCATGAACAAATCTTGAGACCAGGACTTTGAGAGTTAGAATAGCTCCACGTCCTGGCCCCATCACGGGACTGTCTCCCAGGGAAATGTTAATCTCAGTCTGGCAATTTATCTCACGCAGTGGTTATTCATGGTTCTGTTTCACCTTTTCTATAAACTGTAACAGGGCTATAGGCAAGGCAGGGGGAAGCCGGGAATCTTCCCCCTCTCCCCCCAGTTCTGGCCCAAAGTCTAGATAAACACATTTTCTTTTTTATCAATTCCCATCTCTTAGTTTCAGTCAAACACCGATCAGAGAACCTGAAATTAAACAGAGCCAACTCCTTGACCTGGATTATACCAGTAAAGTTCTCATGCTAATAATTTCCCGGAAGTATTAGAAACGCAGCTAAGCAAGGTGAAGACGAAATGGCGAAAGTCCAAAGTGGCAGACACTCTGATACCACCCGATTGTACGTTAGCATGAGACAAGTGGGGGGAGAGGCCCCCAGCTCACAAGACACCCCGATGAGACAAGCCCGAGACATGAGCGCTTCACCAGGTGACTGTGGGATGATCGGGAAGGCCTTTGTGGTGTGTTTGACTGCTTGGCCTTCAGTTATTGCCTGTATGGGGAAGATTAGGAGGTGCGGCTTTCCAGCAAGAAGTATGTCACTGGGGGGTGGACTTTGAGGTTTCAAAACACCTGAGCCATTTTGAGTTGGCTCTCTCTGCCTCCTACGCACACATCAAGATGTGAGCTCTCAGCTGTTCCTGCCACCACGCTTTACTCTGCCAATGTGGATTCTAGCCCTCTGAAACCTGAAGTAAGGTTCCTTGGTTGTGGCATAGTTTCCTTGGCTGTGCATTTTGTCTCAACAATAGAACAGTAACTAAGCCAGCCCTAGTGCCTGCTTTGAAATTTTTTTCCTCACAAGGGGGAGAAAAGGAACTAATTTCAATGAGTACATTTAAAAGAGGCAAATAGGGGCTTAGGGTGTAGTTCACTGGTAGAGCTCAAGTTTAGGGTATGTGGGGCTCTCAGTTCAAGTCCCAACATAACAGAATTTCCTCAAGGGCCTGCCCTGAGAAGATTCCTCCCAGAGTCCTGCGGGAGTTATCTGAGGGAAAAGAGTCTGTGTTCACCATGCTTTTTGTCCGTTACATTATTCCTCTATGACAGAATTCTATCTATACAGCTCCGGTTCCGCCCTGAGTCTCAGTTCCTCTCTGTACCTACTTTTCCTGACCCCTCATAGCCCTGGTAATAACTAAGCCCTCATGCTTTTGATCTCATCTTCGTCCCTTGTTCCCCCATCCTGTATCTTTCCTTCCTCTTCTCCTCTCCTGATCTGATTCACCTCTAATCTACAAGAAACTTCTCCTTGCTCCTCACTCCTCAGCCTGAGCTGTTCTGCCTTGCCATCTACAGAAACTCTCCTTATTTTCTTCTCCTCTGGCCTCATGGCTCTGCCTCAGCCAGGAATCCTGCCCCATCCTTCACTCCACCTGGATATGCAAAACCCTCCTTTGTTCTGAGTCAGTTGCTCTGGAATGCCACTTTCTTGTCTGGGGAGGGAGGTCTGAGCTTCATTTGCACAAGAAACAAAGCTATGCATCTACAGTATGCTGGTCTCCTAGGCCCTGCAGAGGGGTGTTAGTTACCCAGTGGATCAACCTCTGAAAAGCTTATGCTGTTTGCCAATATGGTCTAACAGTCTATGGGCCCACAAGAATTTCATAGCCGAAGACCACTGAAATATTAAAGACTGAATAACACCAAATATTCCTTGATAAATGACTTCCTCTAGAAAAACGCCTTGAAATTTCTAGGTATAACTGTAAGGATTCGGTCCTTAATTATCAGCCTGCGATGGCATCCCAGCCTAAAAAGCTGGGTGGGCCCTCTGTGCATCCCTCTCTTTCCTTTTCCTTCCTTCCTTCCTTCCTTCCTTCCTTCCTTCCTTCCTTCCTTCCTTCCTTCCTTCCTTCTGTCCTCTCTCTCCCTCCCTCCCTCCTTCCCTCTCTCTCTCTCCCCCACTCTCCTAATAAAGCTCTAAAAAGGTAACCATGGCTGTGATTCTTCCGATCAGCACTCTCCTCTGCTGGCATGGCCGCTGCAGGCGGCAGCCAGCCACAAGCAGCACATGATTTAACCAAACAATAGCTTTAATATACAGCTAAATCTCTATAATATATTCTTGCGGCCCACAAGACTAACACTCCTGGAATAAAATAAAAATCAAAGAAAAAAATAAATATGCATCACTCTATTTGCTAGGACCATGCTGTTTAGTAGGGAGATTCTGTAGTTTCTGTGGTGTGTACTAGTAACAGCTCTGGAGAGATTAGTCTGCCAGCAAGGTCGAGGAGGCAGGTCTCACCTGTTGGTGTTATCAGCAGCACCAGAGATGATCACTCAGACAGTTTATAGTGAACTGAAAGTCCTTATCCACCCCTTGGTGTTCAGACACCTGGTTGTAGCCTCGAGTAGAACATGGGGTTTTTAACAGCAGAAACCATATCCTGGCATCTGGAGAGTTAAACTGAAATGACCTCAGCAAGAGTACAAGATGGAGCAACCTCCTCTGTTCTGGCCCTGTCCCATACAAACTACACTTAAGGGCAGGCCCCAGGCCCATCAGGGGATGATGGACATCACAAAATGAACTCATTGGGATTTTGGAGTTTTTTTTTTTTTTTTTTTTTAATCTTACAGTCTTTTGCTAATATATTATGGTTTTCCTGGTTTTGTGTTTTTATGTGATTTTTATGTGATTTCTGTGTGTGTGAATGTGTGTGTCTCTGTGTCTATATGTGTTTCTTGTGCTTTTTCTTTGGCTTTTTTATCTGTTTTGTTCTATTCCATTTTGTTTTTATCTTATCTCATTATTATTATTAAATATGAATTATTATACATGAAAATAATGTAAGCGTTTTATAATAAAATTGCTTTATTAAACACAATTTAATACTCTAATAGGTTCGAGTTCATAAATATAAAGGGTATAAAACAAGGAAAACAACAACTGGCTCAAGTTTTCATGGGGCGCAGTGAACGTATGTGGGAGCTGGCTCTTAGTGACAACTGACCTTAGAAAGTACTGGCAGAAATACTATTCTGAAGGCAATTGCCACAGATATCAAGCCAGAAAAGCAGTTCCTTCCACAGAGCATCCAAAGAGAAATGCCAGCTAGTGAGGTGGCTCACTGGGTAAAGGTACTTGCTACAATTTGTAGACTTACACTTGATTCCTAGGACCCAGTGATGGAAAGGGTGAATGGTCACCTGTGAGCTGTCCTCTGACTTCCACACATCACTGCGCATGCATGAGCACATGTACACACACACACACACACACACACACACACACACACACACACACACCTTTGGTTGTTATTCCCTTAATCACTCATCTATTTAAGCACTACAATCCATTATTCCGTTGCTTGTTACAATCACAGACATTTCTCCCACCATCCTTTCAAAAGGAAAATTCCCTGTTTTTCCCAATCTTTTTTTTTTGGTCTCCTGTAAATAATAGGTTTTTTGCCCCCCTCTCCCCCCAAAAATAATACTTGCTGACGCAGTAAGCCAGATCAAGCTGAACTGAAAAAGTACAACAACAGATTTATTTGAGCAAAGCAACTCCCAGGCGGGTTCTCCAGTCCCAGAGATGGAGGCTGGAGAAGCCGCGCCTGAACTAAGGCAGGGAGCAAAGGGTGCCGTAGGCAGGAGTGATGACCTGTCCTCCACAGCTGGGTTTGTGCCCAAGTGTGGTCAACAGCTGACTGCTTGATGTGGGGACTCGAGTGGTTGGTGACTTCAGGGGAGGAAGCTGCTATAGCCACCAAGATGCGAAACTGGGCTTTTTGGTGCCTTTCCTCTGTTCAGAGATTCTCAGAGTGGGCGGGGTTTAGAGAGACAGGAACAGGGCTTCTCAGACCCTGCAGGAGTGAGCTGGAAGTTCCAACCAAACAGTAAATATATATGTATATATTTGGGTTATATTAGGTATAAATAATATATATATGTGTGTATATATACATACATATATTAGGTATAAATAGGTGGGGTTACAGAATCAGAACATAAGCATAACAAATTGTTCATAACAGCCTCCTGAAACGAGCACACAGTTGCAAGGTGGTCATAACAAGGTGTCCAGTTAGCACACGGATGATTTTCTATTCGTGCTATTTATCTACATTTTCAGAATTCCCTGCAATATGTAGTGTTGTTTTTGTAATATAAAAGCTATTTTAATTTTTAAAAAGCTATTGAGAAAGAACAGCATTAAGTTCATTGGGCCCTGACACTCAAACTCTGAACGGGAAAAGGCCCTAGTGACAGGCACTGCAGAGACATTCTGACTTCCAAGCAGAGCGCAATGGTTTGTTTGTACTCACACACTTATATGTTCCCATAGTAGCAACCTAGGTCAACTGAGAACAGGTGGACTCTTATTACCTTGTAAATTAAGTGACTGCTCTGTTTGGCTATCTGAGGCTAATAACAGGGAAAACTGAATCTAAATTAGAGAAAAACAACACAATCAAAAAGTTGGTTTAAAAACATTTTCCAGGCCTGGTGACACAGGCCTGGAATCCCAGCTGCTTGGCTGACAGATGGTGGTGCTGTGGGTAGAGCCTGGGGCCTCATGCTGGACAAGAGCTGAACTCCAGCATAATCCTAGCAACCTGGGAGGCTGAGGCCCAAGGATGGGAAGTTCAAGGCCCACCTCAGTGTTTTGAGCATACTTTGCCAGAAATATGGGTGGACACTTGTGTGGCTTTCCACAATGTCAGAATTTACTGAACAACAAATTCACAAACTACATCAGCTTCCTTGGCTGTGGTTTGGCAAGTAGTCCCTTGATTTCTCTCAAAAGCTGACTATTGAAAAAACATAAATTATTTTATACCTGTCCATGCTCCCAATATTAACTCCCAAAGATCACACTTTACACAGTAATTATATCTGTACATGTACATATATGTAGACTACATGATGATTAGAACGTTAAAGAGGCCACAGCAGCATTCAAGGAGATTTTTTTTCAAAGCCTTCCAGAAGGCAGAGGCAGGACACTGATACAGATGCAAAGAGGATGACTACAGGTAATTCAGTAAGATGTGTGGGTCTCAGTTGGAGCGCTGCTGGAGGTGAGCAGAGCTGAGTTGCAGCTTCATAGGCGTGAGCTAGCTACAGAGCCCCTTGTAGGGAGACTCTGGGGAAGAGGTGCAGGACCACAGAGGTGAGGTACACAACTAGGTCTGGATGGATGAATGGACAGATAGATGGACTGATGCTAGATAATGATTGGGCTGAGTGGCTATACCAAACATTAGGGATGAGCTGAGCTGACGCCCCACTAACAGCTTGGAATTCTCTGCCTGCCTGTCCTCTGGAGTACCTATCTGTGGTCAGATGATCGGTCCATGTGCCCATTGCCTTCATAGTATAAGGTCTTCTCTTTCTTTGTGGAGTACAGGTGAGAGCGTTGCATGCTTCGTTAGTCTTGTATATTGTATGTATATGCATGTTTTGCCTACATGTATGTATGTATAACATGTGAGTGTCTGGTGCCCTTGAAGGTCAGAAGACGGGGGAAGGTGGGGGGGCCGCGGCGGGGGCGGCGCCCTATTGGATTCCTTTGAACTGGAGTTACAGAGGGTTATGAGCCACTGTGTGAGTGTGGGACCCAAACCTGGGTCATCTGTCTTTCTCATTCTTTTCATTTATTTTGTTAATACTTAAAAAAAAAAAAACCCTTTATTTTATGTGCATGATTGTTTCTCCTGCATGTATGTCAGTACACACAACATGCACGCCTCATACCCTTACAGGCCAGAAGAGAGCTTTGGATCCCCTTCCGATAGTTATTTCAGACAGTTGTGAGCTGCCATGTGGGTGCTGGGAATTGAACCCTGGTTCCTTGGAAGAGCAGACAGTGGTGCTAACCACTGAGCCATCTCTGCAGCCCCAATACTTTTTTTTTCTTTTCTTTTTTTAAAGACAGGTTTTCACTATGTAGCCCTGGCTGTCCTTGAACTCACAGAGATTTCTCTGTCTCTGCCTCCTGAGTGCTGGGCTGGTACTAAAGGCATGCACTACCACACCTGGCTTTCACTAGCCTTTCATTCATCTTGTTTGACAAGGTCTCAGCCTGGTTTTTCTGACATGGTTTTAGTATACCCATATGCTTTTATGCTCCAAATCTGCTTGCTAACTTTATAGGTGGGAACAGGTTTTCTGCTCCCTGACAATAAGTTTCTCTGCTGACACAGTAATCCAGATCAAGCTGAACTGGAAAAGTATAACAACAGGTTTATTTGAGCAAAGCTACTCCCGGGTGAAGAGTTGGGCCGGAGTTTGGAGAGAGAGAGAGAAAGAGAGAGAGAGAGAGAGAGAGAGAGAGAGAGAGAGAGAGAGAGAGAGAGAGAAGAATGGGAGTTTCTGGATCCTGCAGGGGCAAGCAGGAGGTTCCAACCAAACAAGTGGTTCCTTTTACTTTTAGGAATAGATTATTACCAGTTTAAGCTTCCTGGTTAGTGCTGGACAGCCGGCGTTGTCTCTGCCTCTACACAGAGAAGGGAGCCAGATGCTCTACTGTCAAATGGAGTTAGCTAGGGCAAGGCAGGCCTGAAACTTGGGGCAGGGCACAGACTGATCTCCACACTGCTAGTGCTGGGCTACAGCCTCAGATCCAGAAACTTCCTGAATGGGAGATGAAATGTCTGTTCCTTGCTAATAAGGCAGTACCCTCGATGAAAGCAAGCCAAAGGAATTTGACTCAGCCTTATGTGGCATAAAAATGCCTTGCTGACTCCAGATGCTTCCTAATAAAGTGAATACCAAACCCTTAGCTCCATGTAGTGAGGGCTGTGATGTGATACCAGGTTTTCCAGCAGAGCTTTAAAATCTACATTTTTTTTTCTTGCATCTATGGAAGACAATATCCTTTCTGCCTTGCCTAAAGCTAATCCCCGTACTTCTGGTCTCTTAGAAAAACCACGTGTACACATACATAAATCTGATTGATTTACATATAGAATATATGCACACAGACTCTCTTAACCTGCTTTGGTAATGTTAAGGCAACTTTACACTGTGGTGGTAAAATGTTCCCTCCCCCTTTTCTTTTCTTTTTTTCTTTTTCTTTCTTTTTTTTTTCCGAGACAGGGTTTCTCTGTAGCTTTGGAGCCTGTCCTGGACTAGCTCTGTAGACCAGGCTGGCCTCGAACTCACAGAGATCCGCCTGCTTCTGCCTCCTGAGTACTGGGATTACAGGTGTGCACCACCATCGCCCAGCCCCCTTTTCTTTGCTAAGGGACCTTAAAAAGAAGACCTTGTGTTCCCTGGGTAGGAAGCTTTACTTCCGACCCTAATGTGCTAATGGCTCTAATAAGCCTCTTACCCAGAGTGCACCGGGACTCTATGCCTCTCTTTTCAACCTTTCTTCCCAAACCTAACATCTTGCTGCCCACACACCCGGGAGAGGTAACTCAGTGGTGTCCCGTCCTGTGGGGGCCCTCCTCCTCCTTTGCCGCTGTTCTCTTTCCTCTAATCCAGAACTTGATCTGATGATTCTCCCAGATCCTCTGAGACACCTGTCTGTCTATTCCAGGAATTCTGGTACTAGGTCGGAGGTTCCTCTGGGCCTCGGTCTGTTCCCTTGATCAGACCTGTGGGGTCAGGGACCGGAAGGGAACCTGAGGAACAGGAGGATGCTCGTTCCCTTCCCTGCTTCCCGCAGGTCCTTCCTGAGTCACCAGACTTCAGAAAGGCTGCTCAGCCTCCCTCGCCTGAAGACGCACTCCGCTTAGTTTGTAACTTCACAGTACTCTGTCCTGGGTGTGGTGATTGACCTAGGAAGGCAATCTTCTTTTTCTTACTATCTGGCCACAGCAATGCTAACTGGATAAGGGCCGCCAGTGACTTGAAAATGGTACCTTTGACTTTAAGTTATTCTTAGAGACTTATGTCGGTTCATTCAGGGCAATGACTGACATATAGTGGTCTGAGAGCCCTTACATTCGGGCTTTCTTCTTTGTGTACAACCAACTCTCTCTCTGTCACTGCTGAGTCACCTTCCAAATCCTGCTAGGAAGCAAACCCCCGCCCTTCAGGTATCATCTCTTCTGGAGGACCAGTGCTGGCCCATTGACCATGCCTGTTAGAGCAGGATCAAGAGACACAACTGTGTTCTTGTGGCGTGGGGGTCTCGAGGGTCTTATAGTATAGAAAAGGGGGAGCCTTGGGGGGTGGAAGACTCCACGTGTGGGTCAGTTTCCCTGAAGCCCGGAAGTGGTAGATAGCGCGGGTATGGTGTGCCGGTCTCCTTATCGGGAGCTTCCATAGGTATCATCATCACATCCTGTCCAAGTGGCTCAGTCCACCTGAGGGTTTTAGGTAATTAACTCTTCAGTGCTCCCTCCCTCCTTATGTCCCGGTAAGCTGCCTTCAGTTACTTATCCTTACCCCTTACTGCCTTTTTGGTCCTTCTTTCCTGCTCCTCTGGTCCCACTAACCAAAACGACTGAATTCCTTTTCCTCTGTGGCATCATGCAGAGCCAGATTCCTCTTCTCCCTTCCCCCTCGGACACCCCTCCACTCTTGCCTCCCCCTCACACTGTTTCTCTCCTTCTGCCCTTTGCTTAAAACCCGACCCTCTGAGGTTTCTACACCCTTTCTGCTCTCTAGGTTATTGGGTCCAAGGAGATATTCATACACACACACACACACACACACACACACACACACACACACACACACACACACACACTCGTCTTCCCTGAATCAATAAATGTCTGGGTTCTTCTGGTGTCTTACCTGGTCACCAAGGAATTCCAGCGCACTTTAAACTCTTACAGTCTAACATTCCAGGACACTTACGTTGACGTTTCCTTCTCTGCTGTGCTGGGAGAAGCAAACCCATGTCTGGACTTCGGCAGGTTTTGTTTGTTTGTTTGTTTGTTTGTTTGTTGTTTTTTGTAGTTGTTTTGTTTTGTTTTGTTTTCCAGATGCTCTCCATTCCCAGGATCCCCACCATCATCCTCCTGGGAATGAGGTGCTCTCTTTTCTAGAATATCAGCCTATCATACAGCATATAATATGGAATAGAATTATCAGCCTAACTCTGAAGATCTGGTATGCATGTCACTTCCTCACCTAGAGACCCAGGGTATAGAAAAGGCCTCCCTTAAGGCAGTGAACTACGATAATATCCAAGAACTCACCAAGAGGGCTGATGAGACCCTGCTTGCCTTTATGAACTGCCTTACAGAGCGTCTCCTTAGATCTGAATTCAAAGGCAGGCAATCATTCACATACCTAATGCACTGCCTCCTAATCCTCCTCAGACATTAGGAAAATGCTCCCTGAACTGGAGGGTGGCCTTGAAACTCTTCAAAAGGGCCTCCTTAAAGTCTTTAATCAGGGAAGTTTTTAATATTAGCTATACAGCAAGCACAGAAAGAATCAGGTCAAATACCAATTAATTAGGACCACATCCAGGACAACTGAACAGGAAGCCACCAGGACCTTACTTTAAGTATGGTCAAGAGAGGCGCTGGGTCAAACCTTGTCCTGTCTATGAACTCTACTGGGACACTAACTGGCTAGTTTTTTTGTCAACTTGACACAAGCTAGAGTTATCTGGGAGAAGGAACCTCAATTGAGAAAATGCCCCCATCAGATTGGACTGTTGGCAAGCCCGTAGAATATTAATAAAGGATTGATGCAGAAGAGCCCAGCTCACTATGGGCTGTGCCAACTCTGGGTAAGCGGTCTTGGGTTGTATAAAAAACAGGCTGAGCAAACCATGGGGAGCAAGCTAGTAAGCAGCATTCTTCCAAGGTCTGTGACTCAGCTCCTGCCTACAAGTTCCTGCCTTGAGTTCCTGCTCTGGCTTCCTTTCATGGTGAACTGTAAGCTTTAAGCTGAAATAAACCGTCTCCTCTCCAGTTTCTTTTGGTCATTTATCACAGAAATAGGAAGCAAACTAGGACACTAACCTTTTGGGACAGGCCAGTGATTATGCTTCTGTCTAGACTCAGAAGCCCTTGGGGACATTACCATCACCAAAGATGAACCTGGAATACATATCACAGTTGTAGGTAGGTCAATGTCTTTCCTTTTAGACTCATTCATCCTTAACTGAACACTCAGGACCAGTGGTTTCATCTTTTGTCTTTTTTAATGGAGATGGATAGCCTTACCTCCCAACCCCTTAAAACCTAGCCCCTCTTGTGTCTAAAGACACATGAATCTTTACTCATTACCCTATCTCTACTTTTGGGATGAGACATTTGGTTCTCCACATTGCCCTCACTGTTTACCTGCACACAACCCATGTAAGGATTCTCCTCACCCTAATGCCTCTTTTCCACTCTCAGCCTTTCTCACAGCCCAAGTCAACCCCATAGTTTGGGACACCAAGCATTTCTCCAGGGCCATACCTCATTCTCCTATAAAAACCTGCTCTAAAGGTCATTGTCCTGGTTAGGGTTTCTATTGCTGTGATGAAACAACATGACCAAAGCAAGTTGAAGAGGAAAGGGTTTATTTGGCTAACATTTCCATATCTCAGTTCATCATCAAAGGAAATCAGGACAGGAACTCAAACAGCAGGATCCTGGAGGCAGGAGCTGATGCAGAGGCCATGGAGGAGTGCTGCTTACTGGCTTGTCCCTCTAGCTTGCTCAGTTTGCTTTCTTATAGAACCCAGGACCTCCAGCCCAGGGATGGCACCATCTACCATGAGCTGGGCCCTCCCTTATCAATCACTAATTAAGAAAATGCTCTACAGACTTGCCTACAGCCAGAGGCATTTTTTTTTTCTTTCTGTTTTTTGAGACAGGGTTTCTCTGTGTAGTCCTGGCTGTCCTGGAACTCACTCTGTAGACCAGGCTGGCCTCCAACTCAGAGATTCCCCTGCCTCTGCCTCCCGGGTGTTGGTATTAAAGGCGTGCGCCACCACTTCCTGGCAACAGAGGCCATTTCTTAACTGAGGTACTCTCCTGTGACTTTGGCTTGTGTCAAGATGATATAGAGCCGTCCAGTATAATCATCAGCTTTCCAAACTGGGTACCATACTCCTTTCTCTGTCAGAGCATTGCTGAGCCTCCAACCGACCATAGACAAACTACTTGATTCCAACCTCTTCCTATTCCGATCGCCACCCATGCTCCCCCACCCCAGTTGCTTGTGGGAACGCAGGAAGAGTCTCACACAGCTCGCTCAGACAACACACTTCCAGGAAGCAGTGAAAGATCTGAAATTCTTCCTCAGAAGATACACCAACCAAACCAATGACGATTGATCAGATGTTTTCAGATAGTCCCTTTGCTGGGTCATAGTTTTTCTAGAAATATTCCTAAAAAAAATATCCGTTTGCTGTTGTGTGTGTGTGTGTGTGTGTGTGTGTGTGTGTGTGTGTGTGCTTTGTGTGCACCACAGCACATGGGTGGACATCAGAGGACGACTGGAACTGGTTCTGACCTTCCACTGTGGGCTTCAGGGAGCGAATCCAGATCTTCAGGCACGTGCAGAAGCACCTTACTCCTGAGCCATTTCACCGGCCTGGAATATTTCTTACACTGGACCGGAGTACGACAGCTTGCTGACTTCCTTTGGGTGGAATAATTTTGCATACCAGAGCTCACCTTAGTTGAGCAGGCCTCTGCCTTTGGATGCCATGAGGACTTTAAAAATCTACCCCTTGACTATTCTATTCTCTACCACATTGCAAGTGTTTAAAGAACCCACTGCTTATGACAGAGCCAATCAAATTGCTTTTCTTTTACCGTCTACTTTTCCTGAATATGTGTCCTCAATGATTTTTAGCTTTGATTCTTCTCTTGTCTTCTTGAGACAGGTCTTGCTGTAAGCATTGCAGCTCAGATGGAAAGGTGTCCTGGCAGCTGGAAGCCAAGGAATACCACAAAGTCACACCGCACAACAAACCTCACACAAGAGATTGATTGGGAGGGAAAAAACCAAGAGGGTGGCTGCCTCTGCTCAGGTGAGAAACAGCAGCAAACTGAACAGGATAGAGAGCCTATATAGGGTTTCTCGGGAAGGGGGTGGAACTTTCCAGGGTGGAGCTTTCCAGGGTAGAGATTGGTGGGATTTCATGCCCAGAGATTGGGCTTTTTGCTCTGCAGGGTCGGGGCAGGGTCCAGCAGTTAGGGCAGTTAGAGTATTCTGTGGGTGGAACCTGGCAGTTAGAGGTCCTTGGGGGAGTGGCTTGAAGGGCTTACACTTGCTATGCAGCCCAGACTCCCTTTGACCTCTTTAACATTCTGCCTCAGTTTCTCAAGTAGCTGGATGACAGGTATATTTGTTTCTTTTCTGTTGCTGTGAGAGAATACCCCAAGACATCACCTTGAGGAAAAAAAAAAAGTTTATTTTGGCTTATAGTCCTAGAGGAGTATAGTCCTTCATGGTGGGGCGCGTGGCTGTGGGAGTGTGGGGTGATCAGGCAGCCGAGAGAGAACAGGAAGTAGGGCCACAGATCTCACCCCATCCTCCTGTGATTTCTCTCTCCAGCAGGGCTCCATCTTCTAGTGGTTCCGTAACCTTCAGAACAGCGCCACCAGATGGAGACCGCGTATCCAAACACGCAAGCCTAGGCGGACCTCTTACGTTTAAACCACAGCAGGCAGGCGCGGCCACCTCCGGCTTCCGGAAGCTCTTTCACTCCTTCGTCAGTCGCGGTTCCCGTGGGCTCCTGTCACACTAGTTAGACCGCTTGGAGACTTGAGAACAAAGGCCGTTTTCTATGTCAGTGCATTCACTGGGTTTCTCAGTTTATGGATGTAGGCAAATCAGCTCTTTGCAGCTTGGGTACAAGTCAGTCTCCGCAGAGCCTACGCATTGCTGATGCCCTGGCCACAGTTCAGATCAAATGAGTCACACTCTGAAAGGGAGCCAGGCACCAGGATTTTTTTTTTTTTTTTTTCTTTCTTTCTTTCTTTCTTTCTTTCTTTCTTTCTTTCTTTCTTTCTTTCTTTCTTTCTTTCTTTCTTTCTTTCTTTCTTTCTTTCTTT